CCCGGCGCGGGGAAGCGGGGAGGAGGGCCCTAGTGTAGCAGCGCCTCCTGCAGGGCAAAGCGGGGCCTGTCGCGGCCGCTTGCGGCCCAGAACAGCAGAACGTGGGCTGCGCGCTTCGGAGCAGGGCTACTGAGTTTCCCGCTGTCTTCTCTACTCTGTGCTGCATTACCTCGTTTTTCTGAACGTCTGTGTTTTAAGATGAAGATAAAGCTCGGGCCTGCTTAGTACAGTTGTCATGAGAACAAATTCAACACCAGTGCTTGGTGCAGTGCAGGTTAAGTGTTAAATACCGCTAGGGGTTGAATTGGATTGTTTTGTTTTGTTTTGTTTTGAGAAAGTCTTGCTATATAGCTCAGGCTGGCCTTGACTAATGGCTACCCTCCTGCCTCAGCCTCCTGAGTGCTGGGATTACAGTTATTTGTCACCACGCCTAGCTGTTAGGGATCAATTTTGTCCTCAACCTCCCAAATTCATGTGTCAAAGTTCGAACCTCCACCACCTCAGCATGTGACCTTACTTGGAAATAGGGCCACTGCCCATGTACTTAGGCCACCCTGGATCCACCACAACTGGTGTTCTTGTGTGAGGGGACACTGGGACAGAGAGGCACCCAGAGAACAGGGGAAGGGGAAGGCAGAGATTGGAGTGCTGCCTCTACCAGCCAGGGGACACTAAAGATAATACTAAGAAGGCAACGAAGTAAGCTGAGGACCTTACGGAGGGGCACGAGGTCAGCAAGGTTCTCAGCTTACTTCTTTGTAAATGGGGCTGAAAATAATGCCTACTTCCTAGCGGCTAACTGGCAATTAAGGGCAAAGGTGTATGAAAAGGGTTTAACAGTGCCAAGGTCTCATAGTGCTACCACACCCTATTATCTAGTTATCCATCTGACTCCAAATGATACAGTGTCACTCACATTTAGTCAACTTTTTTTTCTTTTTGTCTTGAGAAAGGGTCTCGTTTTGTGGCCCAGCCTGGCCTCTAACTCACAATAATCCTCCCGCCTTGGCCTCCCTAAGGCTGGGATTACAGTATGCAGCACCATGCCTGCCTCTGAGCCAGACTTTCTGGATTCCCTGATGACCTGCTACTGCAAAGCCAGCCATCCCTATAGCCGGGGGGCAATGAGGAAGCCCCACTAAACTCTGTCCTGCCTGAGCAGGTGCCTCTCCTTCGAGGGGGACACCCAGCCCTTCCATGAGGAGGCGAGCAACAGGCAGCAAAGCACTGCAGGGGATGCTGAGCTTGGCAGACCACAGGAGGCTTGAATCAGACACAGTGGGGGTCGGGGTTGGTGTCCGGGGGGCATGTAGGGCAGGTTGGGGGATTGGAGGACTGGCCTGGAAGGTGAGGTATCTTCACAGCATTTATGGGAGACAGGAGAGGCCCAGGCAATAGTGAACAGCCGGGATCTAAGTCTTTAAATGAAGGGGTGGGGGGCTGGCACAGAAGGACTGGAGTTGGTGGCCAGGGAGGTGGGGAGTTCCTGTGGGTCCAGGGCCTGAAGGAAAGGGTGAAGCCAGAACCGAGTCCAGGGGAGGGGTTGGAGCAGGCAGCGGGGCACCAGGGAGAGGAAGGAAGCAGTAAAAGAAAAGGGAAGTAGCGTTGTTCTTCACGGGGCAAAGGGAGGAAGGAACTGGGCCTGGGTGGAGGAGGGTGTCTGGGCACCTTCCCAGATCTCAAGCAGGACGTGGGGGCAACCTGGCTGCAACATCTGTCACCCCATTGATCACCAGGTTGATTCGGCTGACCTGGCTGGCCAGGCAGGGTCCCCTTCCTCACCGCTCCATGCCCATGTGCGTCTCTCTTGCAGCTGCTGCTGGTGGAAGAGGACGACCACCCCCAATATAGGTCTGCTTCCTCAGCCAAGGGTATGTGAGTAGCCTCTCTGCCTGCTAGAACCTCCATACCAGCTCTCCAGGAGCTAGACCTCAAGCCCTGGGAAGAGAGACAGGGATGTGTGTTGGGCAGCCCGGGAGACCTGTGTCACAGCTATAGCTCAGGGGTATAGAACTTGCCTAGCTTGCAGGAGGCCCTGGGCTAGATCCCTAGTCCCACCACAAAGAAGTGCTGACCAAGTGGGGGACTTCCAGGTCACACCCCACAAAAGTCTGGGGAGGTGGCAGCCAGCAAGAAACATAGAGGAAGCTTCAGCTTGGTGCCCTGGGCATCCATCATAAAGCAACCAGAAGCCACGGGATGCGGTTACAAAGAGCCAGGGTAGTCGTGGTAAAATCCACATCAGATGCTGTCCAGCCTCTGTTCTGAACTCTCCGGGGACTCTGGTCTCAAGCAAAGCCACAGCCGGTATGATGCCCCACAAGGCTCCACCCAACTGCGTTACTTGAGAATTTCTGGTTGCTGAGTGTGGTGCACAATCCTGTAACCCCAGCACTCTGGGAGGCTGAGGCAGGATGATCACATTTTAGCCAGCCTGGGCAACTTAGACCCTGTCTCAAACAACAAAGCAAACAACCACCACCACTCCCAAACAAACAAACAGGTCTGGGGATTTAGTTCAGAGGGAAGAGATTGGATTCAATCCCATTACTGAAGAAAAGAGAAAGAAAAAGGTTTTGGCCTGTCTCACTCTGTAGAATGGAATTTAAGAAAGGCAGAGGGTTTTGGGCAAGGTAGGTCTGTTCAGCACTTGACCCTGGCAAAGCACGAGGTGCAAGTATTTGTGAAATTCAGACCTCGAGCCTCCTGGGCCAGGGACGTTACCACTCTCCCTTTACAGGAGGGGAACGGGGTTCAGGGGAGTGGAGCTTGGCTGGAGTCTACAGCTCCTGAGTGGCACAGCCCTGTTGGAGGGGGAGCCTGATGTCCAGTCAACAAGTTCTCAGAAACTCAGGTGCCAGAAACAGACCAGCCTGGGGATGAGGAGGAGTTTGGGCCTGAGGAAACGGGCTTCCTAGACAGGAGTCGGCAAGAGCAGCCCTCGTCCCCATCTGCCTGCAGAGCCGGGCGGGGTGGGGGGTGCGGGAGGGAGTGTCTTTCTCTTCAGCCGCCCTTGGGCTTCTGTCCTCCTTGCGTGTCACTCACATTGGGTTTCTTTCGGTTCCCTTTGGTGGCACGCTTCCTCTGCTCCTTGGTGCCTCTATTTGCACAGGCTGGCTTCTCTCAAGTAGGGGAGGGGGCCTCTGAAGGCGCCCAGTTTGTGCTGCTGCCCTGGCCAGGGTGCGGAAGCTCCCACGCTAGGAGGGAAGCTCCCAGACACTGGCTGCAGAGGCTCCCGGGTGGTGGAGGCCAAGCCTCCCTGTTCCCCACGCCCGCCTCCCCACCAGGGGAAGTGAGACTGGTTCACTTCTCCTTCGCTGGCTCTTCCACCCACCAGCCAGGACAGGAGCCTGTGGGACCCTTCTTGGAAGAGCACTGTTTTCTCCCAAGACCTGCCTTCCTCCTGCTGCGTCCCTGGCCTGAGCTGGCTCTTGGTTCAGAGTCTCCCTGACCAGGGAAGACAGGGACTGAAGGGTGCAGAGCCCCTCACAGTCCCTGTGTAGGCCCAGAGCCTCATGCAGATGCCAGGAGCCCAGTAATGTCACCTCCCTTGTACAGACAGGGACTGGGAGGCACAGGGTCTGCCTAAAGCTGTACAAGCTGAGTCCAGGGCTGGAGGCGAGCTCAAATGCTCCCACCCCCACCACAGCCCCTGCTGGTCCTTGGAGTTCAGAGACCCTCAGGGTGGGCCTCACCTGGCCCCAGCTGACAATGGGAGGGGAGCTGGCCTCATGGTTGCTCAGACTGTGTGAGGCAAGGCTCTTGGCTGGTGCTCTGGATATCATTTCTGGACCAACATAGGATATTTTTCTATTAAGCATAACTGATGCCCAGTGAAGAAGATTCCCATTTTGGGGATGAGCATTTTCAATGAAATAGCAGTTTGGGGTGGAGATATAGCTCAGTGGTAAGGTGCTTGCCTAGCATGAGCCAGGCCTAGAACCATGGGGAAAAAAGCAATTTTGCTTTGAAAGAGTGAAATATTTTCATTTTTGTTTCTTTTTCTTTCTTTTCTTTTTTCTTTTTT